TATTTTTGGGTATCGATTATATACCATGTCTATTAAAAATATTTTTAAAATGCTTTTTAGTTCTTTTTGTAAAACTTCTGTTGACAATATATTTTAATCATACAATCAACGATTCTTTAATAATACATGTGCCGATTAACTACATATATGATGAATTAATGAGATTTATTACTCGAATAGTTGTACTGAAAGTTGTCGAATACAAGGGAACTACAAACTCTGTCAGAGATCAAATGTAATTTCTGACAAAAATGAATAATCATGTATGTCATTTCAGTTACATGTTTGTCGAATGAAGTATATATCAAGTTATATTTTATTCCCTTGGAGTCTTTGATGTATGTTTAATAACGCAGATATTTTCTACAATATATCTCTCAAAATATTTAACGGTATAATGCCAAATATGAGTATGTTTATTCGTTATTATACAAAATGATCAAGTTTTCCAATGATTTTTTTGTCTTTCAGTTGACTTTTTCGATTAGTACAGTAATCTACATAATTTAACCAGAAGTTGATCATTATTTTTGAGGGTAATTAAGAAATTCAAAAATTTGTTAGAGAAGCTCTATGAGTTGAATACACAAAAACTGCTTGTTAAATTATGACCTTTTTTATTGTAGAGTTAGTATTTTTCTTTTTTTTTGTAATCATATTCTACTCGACATACGTGTTTGAATTATTCACAGTAGGTAACGAAACGAGAGTTCCAAAAACGGAAATCTCTTTGTTTGCTTCAATCATGGTAATATATCTTTTTTCATCAAAAAAACTACCGAAGGCAAAATGCTGACTAATTAGTATGTTGTTTATTTTTATCGTTGATAACTCTAACCAACGTCTAGAGTTTAATTGCTACACCATTATGCCCTGTTTGATTCAGGAATATCAACGATTGTAAGTTAAGGAAATCTATATCAACAAAGTGAAGCAAAGTTAGGAATAATAACAAGAACGATGGAAATTTAAGTACAAAAGCAAAAAAAATCAAAATGAATTGGATAAACATTATATTTTTGAAGCGAAAGGTACTGAGTTCAAGTCTCGCTGTAAACAACACTACCGGGATGTAGACACATGAAGTTGAGAAGTTTCAAAATGAACGGGACCTGCATTGTTTTTTACTCTTAGCTATAATCTAGATATACTATCAAAGCATTAGCTTTAACCAGGTACGTTGTTTAAAGTTAGACGTACGATTAGGTGTGAAAAAATCTTAGTATTCATTTAACGAACTTATTGAATGTGATTGCTGCTAAGATTGTGAGTTTAAATGTTAATTCTTAGTTGTCCATGCAGTGAAAGTTAAATCAAAGGATACCAGATAAACATACTCCTTTAATGCTTATTATACAAGACAAACAATATCTAACTAGTGCAGATCAACACATAACCCCTTTAAGAATATTTAATTTTATATGCCTGCGTGATATTCGAAACCCTTATTACGAAGTTGATTTATGTTTAGTACCCATACAGCCAGAAGCTTTTAGCCTTTCCTATTAAAGGTATTACCGTTGTGGTGTTCTACTGATATGACAGATATAAGAAGTATGTATCACTAATCGGAAGTCCAATGCCTGGCGCCAGAAAGTTGGTTAGAACAAAGAGAAGAAAATGGTTGCTGTGGAAACAAAGGAATAATGAAGTCTGAGACGATTGTTTGACATTTTGTAAACGAAGTATTTACTATGTGGTTTACAGATTTGACTAAGACATACTGTAGTTTTGTGTTAAAATATATTTGGTTGTACACGCCTGTGTTCTCGTACACTACAGAATGTGTAAATATCTGAAGGAACGCTTACACATCTTGAACCCGATCAAGAAGCACGATTTAGATGCCATATATTAGGTTAGTGTGCGATTCCCCATACTTAAAATTAGAGTTTGTTTGATTTTAACAGTAAATAGCTTAAGATTTTGACTAAAATGAACTCAAGGGACAATCAGCACAGTTTGATTCATCGTTTAAACTAACTTAAGTATGAGTTCCATCTAGCAGATATAGACAACAGTTTGTTCATAGGTGCGAGTTTATTCTTGTCTTATTGAACCAAAATGTTATCAAGTTAACGTTTATAACGAAGCCGTTCGTTTGTCTCACAATCTCCAACCCATTAAGTAAAGACATTTATTTCATTGTTATTAAGCACTCAGGACAATTAGCCATAGTGTATTTATACTCCAGGGATATGATTAGTCAATGATCTATTTAACCTGCTCCACTTCACGAAGTTTTTCACGACCAGGAACCCTTACGAATTTGGATATGCCGCATATCCAAGTCATCGGCACAGTTCGGATTCATTTTACAGCTTTTAGACGTGAAGTTGTCACAGACGGATTTATTTTCACTAGAATGTTTGCTTTCTTAAAGAAAAATTAGGGACTTAATAAGACTTAACCCGAACCTAGCTTAGAGAACTGCCTTTTATCTTAACACCCTTTGGTAAGTGTAAGCGATCCTGGTGCATAAACTTTCATTTCATCACTGGGTTTTGTCTATTTGCACTACACAAGTAGGAATAACTCAAATAAAGTATCCTGAATGTAAACCAACCCCAAATGTATTCAAGGGATAATCAACAGTTACTCAATTTTATAACTTCAAAAGAAATAATATTATCAATCTGAGAAAACCTAAAATGTCGAGTGGGTTAAATATACAAAGCAAAGGATTCCGAAAAACTCACCCTCACCTTAGACCAAACCGTGTGTGTTGCGTTTTTGCCTATGCCATTATCTCTATTACAATAAGCTAGGAAAATATATACAATAGGAAGCCAGATAACTGATTACTAGTAACCATACTATTTTAGACCCATACTTTATATGATTATACGAACAAAATACAATATCAAGACAAACCACAGTGCTTCAGTATATACATAACTAAGGCATATTCGATTCAAACCAGACTAATGGTTAATCGACTATAATTATTGAATGATAAAAGAAAAGAGCAAGTGAGTGAATCAAAATTTGGTGTGTAGTTAGATTCGAATAAAGAATAAAATCAAGTAACTGCTGGATCAATAACCAAGCAATTAGACAAAGAATAACTTCAAGTTTCATATATCTTGTCTCGACTCAGCAGCACACCTAGTAGCAATCAAGTAATGATGAATAACGAAGTACTTGTTGGCAGGATACTGATGGAAAATAAATGAACACTGTACATGCCACTTTATCAAGTTACTTTGACAGATAACAAGCAGGTGATTGGAATATGTAGGAAACGCTAGGAATAATGAGATTATAAAGGTCAAATTATTTCCCTGACCTAGAGTTTTCAACTACCCTTAAGGCAATTACTTCTATGATAGTTCTAATAACTTGACTCAGCTATCATATACTAAGTCATCATCTGAACAAAATAATTTTTTTTAATTTGAATCAACCGTCGGACTAAAAATCAATGTATAACAAAAAAATTATGTTATGTTATAGGATGATTTAATTTACATAGATATGGTAAAATCGCAAATATTTAATGTGAACAATAAATTTGGATTTTTATTCATTAGAATAAAGAGAACAAGATTTTTCATTTTGACAAGTGTTCACTATATTCCACAGGTCACTTTTTAAACGATTCTTGAGGTCAATGACATGCAAAAATAGGATGGAAATCATAACTATCTTTTGTATAGGAAATAAGATTCCGATTTAGTTCCAGTTATGTCATCCTTTAAAAACGTAGCTAGGAATTTCTAGTTAGATTTCATAGAAAGTACATACTCTGGGAAACACACTACCAGACATTTTCCACCTTTGCCCAACTATGTTGTATCTTACTTAATCACTCCGAGACAATATCGCATCTGGATCGAATGTACATCAGTTCGAGTATCCACATTACATCAACACAAAAAAAGGAAATTACCATGATGAGAATCAGAGAGGTCGAAACGATAACAATAATATTGCTGAAAGTGAAGGCAAACAATTTAGTTGGATGGGACAAATTAACTCGATGACTCACATTTTGATTTGAATGTCGGTAATTTTCCCACACCAAAAATCAAAATATGTAGGGTTAAATGATCTTTATTACATAAAAACAAAAACTTAAATATTTCTCCGAGAAAACACCTCTATATTATGATTTTTGAGTGCTTAAAACCAAAACTACTAGAATGCTTTGTAGTCACAGTAAATATTTATCACACCTTTAGTTACTTGTTTGTAGGAAATTGACAATTCCATACACTCAGCTACCAGGTGACTTTATGTATGTAGGTAGTCATATATATATATATATATATATATATATATATATATATATATATATATATATATATATATATATATATCAAATGATGCAAAGTACTCAAATTTTCAGTGTTATATTAAATAATTTTCTCCGAAAAGAAAATAAGTCCTTTTGAGATACACAATCAGCACGCTGGATGTTTAAGATATAGACAAATTCAAGGGGAAATGAAGTGGCAGACACAAATTAAGTAGCCTTTAAGGTCACAGTTCGTTCATCCAACTTCAAACAGATTTCCATCTACAGAAAATAGTGTACAGCTGAGCAAAGAAACGCCACAAACAGTGGACTTTCAGTATTCACGTAACAATACCGTTCATGGGTTTAATCTAAGATTATTGGTCTCGACCCATCGAATTTATTTGAGCTCGCAGGATCTTAGATGTCATATTTACAGCAGAAACAAACACAGGCATACAACGCATTATGAGCTAAATGTTATGTTGTGCATTAGTGTGAAACCTCTATAATTAATATTGTCATAAGTTAAATATTTACATATTAGCTATTCAATTATGCAGTAAAACCCTAATTCGTTCTTTGACACTCAAATTGGAGTATGATAAAATCTTTTCATTTTTGGCATCCTAGATGAGTGAAAAACAATTTAGTTTAATTTCATAAAGTTTGTTTCATTTATTGCAAAACGTCACTGACTTAATGACATATCAAGACACAGGTAGAGTCAAAGAATTACTTAATACCTTACTTCAATATACCGCTAAGAACTAATTATATCTGAATTACACTTTTTCGCGAGCAAAAACATGTCTACGTTAATGACACGAAATAACGGTTCTTAAAGCTGTACTTTTGGAATATTAACATAGATTAGTCTACGAAAGCTAACACTAGATAAAAATCTGAAAACAATGACAAGTGAGAACAGTAGTTTATATCGAATTAATGAGATTCTGTATAAAAAATAACGTGCAATCAAATCACTGACAGATATCACAGATTTTAATGAAAACTGTACAATAAATTGAGACAAAAGCTCAAAGGACATCTGCTTAACCTGATAATTATTGTGCAAGGGACACACATTTCTGATAGTTATCATCAATTTTATTTCGTGAAATACTAGGGTCGGTTGCATTATGTGAATGTGAAGATAACAGGGATACTGGGTTGGATCCACGTTTTCGATTACGTTTGCGATGTCGAGGTTTTGAACGCTTAGATATTATATTCGTCGGTTTGAGATTGTCTTGTTTGCATGCTTTATTGTCGAGAGCTTTATTAACACTAGAGTGAATTTCCGTAGATTCATCATCTCCTGCCAACTGGGATGCTAGGTCAGCCTCGAAACCATTTGATATTAAATACTTCAAACGATCGAAGTAGCGAGACCTTGCTTCTATTTCCCAAATACGATTAGACCTTTCCAACCTGCTTGCTGTAGCATATGTATAAAGATTGTATACAGCAGAGATAGGGTTCCCCCTAGGAAAATGCACATGTTTTGGACCATCTAGTTTTCTTTCATTGTAAGAATCACAGGTATGTCGAGCGTCGTTTTCACTGTACAGATGTTTATGGTTTAATTCATTTACACTGTATTTGAACGACCATTTCCTGTTGACTTCATAAAGTTGTTTGCTTATGAATTTTTTGGGTTCGGTGGAACATGCCTTTGTAGACAAATGATTGTGAGAACCTTCTGGATTTGGCTTTACTATATACAGCTCTGGAGTGTGGATCTGAACAGAAAAAGTCTGTTCCGGTTCATCACTTTCATCTGAGGAGCTTGAAAGCTGAACAGATCGAAAGAAATCAGATTGACCCTGAGGGATTATTGAACGAATAGTTAAATCGAAGTCTAACCCATCTTTCCGCTCCGGAATACTAAAGTTGCCACTACAGTATAGCAAATCGAACAGACGACGTCCATGAGAAGGGCAGACCCAATACTGTCTTTTGATACAGAATTTGGTACTGACTACAGTTATATGATGATAACTAGTCTTTATATGCAAATGCAGAAATGATGCTAAGTTGGTCGCTTTCGTGTCTAGTTTTGATGGGCATTTACGATTTAGATTGAGGCCACGTAAGACTGCTTGGATCGCTCTCGTAAGACTATGGAAGGGAACAGAAGGGATTGAACTTTTCCGAGGGCTTAGTGCCACAACTGAATTTGACCGAAGTTCGTTGGCAGCAAGTTGGTGATAAATGCGTCTGAACCAGCAGTCCCTACACTGAAGTAGGTCCCACAATATTTGAAGGTCAGTGGAGGGAAGAAGCGAATGTGAACCAAAATGAACTGTGGGTCCGACTGACCAGTGTTCTGCCATCTACAAACGAAAAGAATAAGCAAAATGGAACACTGAATAGGAACTAATTGGAAACCAATTAAAGGTATTTTAGGAATAAATATTCTCTTAAAAAACAAGTCACAAGTATTCTGAAACGTATATGTATTCATGAGTATGCAGTTTTTAAATTTCTGCTAGATATCCTGAGATCTTGAGGACACACTTTAGTACGACCGTGAATTTTATACATCAAAACATAGCGTGTGGGTGTTAGTTACTAAGACTAGTGTTATGTCTTGTTATTGGGGTTCAGTACTGACTACGGTGTTACGAATCTAGGAACAAAAATGATTGAGCCACTCTAAAACAATTGTTTTTTTCGGGACTGACAACAATCAATTATACACAACGCATGAAACCCCGGTGGTAACATTAGAAGAGATTTTCACCTTTCCAATGGATTTTGACTATTCTTGAGACAGTCTTAGCATCTAGTGACCACAGTGCAGCTTGATAGAATAGGTACTAAGGAAACGTGACACTAGTTATTACTCTGTGACCAATATTTGCTCGACGATAAACTTCGAACAACCCTTCAAAAATAAACGACAATGACTGGTTTAATTAGTCAAGATAAATTTGATTGCAAACAAACGTACTTCACTCTTCTCCTTTCTGATTCAGAAATGCGGCCATTGAATAAAAAACATGACTAACTGGAGTGTTCGACCATATTAGTCACTTAAAATAGTTGTTGCCTCGTTATGGTTTCCTGTATATACCGTTTGCAAAAATGGATTACCTATTGAGTTAATGAACACAAGTTTGAAATATCTGACATGTTTTTAACAGTGGAAATGATCAAACACTAAATTTGAAACTGTGACTTTAGAACGTGACACCTGAATCAAACAGTCCATTTTTTTCCTGAGCGATAATGGCGATCAAAACTCCAAAACCATCAGACAGCCATAACGTAGGGTATGGTATAAATGTGCATTAATTTATACTAATCATACCAGCACAGAGAAACGCAAGTAACAAAATGAAAAAGAATTCATATGGTGTCTGTGGTAGTGACGTCTTTTGGTATTAGATGGTAAACTGGAGAAAATTTCGGTTGACTAGGAGTCATTTCTACTCCCTTGGTAATGCATCAGCTATCAAGAATATGGCGACTGTCATTCAACTCCCATCAAAGTTAGGCAAGTAGTGACAAACATAAAGCAGGTTAAAAGATTAGGATGTGATAGTTTACTTTAAAATCCTTCAAGAGTGATGATTAGCAATTACTAGACTCAGTAAAGTTACTAAAGGATTAGGAAAACAATAGATAGTTTTGGCAAAATATTTCCGACTATTGATCATTTCAAAGGTTTTTCTATATGGTCACCGCACCAAACTGTTTGTTTAGTTTTTTATTTATTTATTTTAACACATAGATATTGGTACAAGGAGGCACCAAATACATATGCGCCACACAAATCTCATTCGATATTTGTGAGGTCTGTGATACTGCCCGGGTGCCCAGACAGAAGCATCGTTATCAACACTAAAGCGGTTATGTTTGTTAATTTGGTGTGGCTTATGACCTCACTGTTTGAGAAGACTATCTGATACAGCCCTAGAAGAACCCACCCAGAACATCCACTCCTCAGCCCCCATGTCAGCCTAACCCGCCACCAGTCCAACACAGTGTAGATCGGACAGCCTCCACACCCTTAATTGTTCACTCTCAGTTGACACACAACCACAAAGCGATCTGACCTCCCCCATATTCCCCCACGAACCCGCAAACAGTTTCCGTCCCCGGTATATCAGCCCCCTCCAGCCCACACCAAACTATCACCTCAATCCACCTAACCTCCAACCCAAACCCCCGCCACGCCCCAGCCCCCCCCTATAAACTTGCAAAATACAACCCATAACCTTAGCTCCGTCACCCATCCACCACATGCCCTAGCACCCCCAAAACCAAACTGCCAGCACCTATTCCTTCGCCCGCCACCCAACCCCAACCCCCCACCAATCTGTCAGCACCCTGCCCCCCCTCATTCCCCACCCCCCCCTGTTTAAAAAAACAACACCTCCCCCTCCCAGGTCCACATCCGCCCCAAAAACACCTACCCCACCCATCCTACTCCCGACCCTAATCCCCCACCTCGACCCATGCCGCCATAACCTCCCCACCGACCCACCCACGCCCACAGTCCCACCACTCTCCCCACAACCGAAACCAACAAGACACATAAAAAACCACAGCCGAACCACACGAATAACAAAGCCACTCGAACCACCCAGATTCCAAACCACTACGCCCCCCGACACTCTCGCAATCCCCCCCGCAGCGTCCACTAAAAGTACAACCCCCCGCATCATACCCACACCCCACCACGGACCACACGCCCGTAAACCTCGCCCCCCACCCCTCCCAACACACTGACCTGAAACCCCCAAGCACCCAACCACCACCATTAATGGAGCCAATGCCACACCCACCAAACTAACACCCCACCCCCTAAAACCCCCCCCCCAGCCACCACCAAATCACCACCAACCCGCCCCCAAAAGCCCCCTCCCCCCGCCGCACCCCGCACAAACCGCTGAAGAACCGCTCTCTAACCGCTCCAACCAATGCGATACCAAGCCCACTCAGGGAAACCCCACACAACCCCTAACACCCAAATTGGTTGCCCCGGTTTTTTTTAGTGAAGGAGTGAATATTCATTAGTACTACGTAATCTCGAGGCAAAAATGAAGTCCAATTGTGATTGGTCACAGTTTTCGAGAAAATGACTTTATTTTTCCCTCAAATAATTCTGCGGCTAACAGATACATGGCAATGTATATATGGTTTTAACAGCTAATCTTTTACGTAAACGGACTTGAAAATAGAATTCCACGAAATTATTGAACGCATAATTTACACAAAATTAAGACGTTTCAGTCAAACCTCTAAAATTTCTCACCAAACCAAGGAATGCTCTTAGTTCTAGTGCACGCCTGCACCTGAAAAAAATACCATCATGGATAATTAGAGTTTTTATTCATTAGAATAAAGAGAACAAGATTTTTCATTTTGACAAGTGTTCACTATATTCCACAGGTCACTTTTTAAACGATTCTTGTGGTCAATGACATGCAAAAATAGGATGGAAATCATAACTATCTTTTGTATAGGAAATAAGATTCCGATTTAGTTCCAGTTATGTCATCCTTTAAAAAGGTAGCTAGGAATTTCTAGTTAGATTTCATAGAAAGTACATACTCTGGGAAACACACTACCAGACATTTTCCACCTTTGCCCAACTATGTTGTATCTTACTTAATCACTCCGAGACAATATCGCATCTGGATCGAATGTACATCAGTTCGAGTATCCACATTACATCAACACAAAAAAAGGAAATTACCATGATGAGAATCAGAGAGGTCGAAACGATAACAATAATATTGCTGAAAGTGAAGGCAAACAATTTAGTTGGATGGAACGAATTAACTCGTCGAGCATATTACACAGATATTAAAATTCAAAACCTAAGGGGAACTAATGACTAGACAAATTTGTGTAACTGCTGTTGATTTTAAGTCATGTTACTCACCGTATTCAACTGTCAGTTACAATAATCGTGTGATCCTGGACCGGGATATATGCACCTATATACGCACCTTAACATATTACATATTGCTTTGGATTTCTGTGAAACATGGCCGGTAAGAATAGAGGATATCTGTAGGTTACTAGTATTTGATCATAGGTGTCTTCGAAATATTGCTCGCATATCCTGGAACCATCGAGTAATTAATGCAGTTGTTAGGAAACGGGTACTAGGTGAGAATGGCGAACCGATTGATGCCGTAGTGAAACTTTATCAGTTGAGATGGCTGGGATATGTGTTACGTATGCCCAACGATCGACTGCCTCGACGTGCGATGTTCAGTGGTATAGGAGTAGGTTGGAAGGAAGTTAGTGGCGGCCAGACCAAAACATGGCACAAGTCCATGAAGTCACTGACAAGTGGACTGAGTCATGTTGTTAGGTGTAGACTACCTTGTTGGGAACCGCGAGATGATAGCAACCGATGGTTAGAGACCCTGAATGACATGGCTCAAAATCGTTTGCAATGGCGCAGGTGCATACACTCTTTGTGTTCACCTAAATTCTAATTTTCTGAATTCTGCATGTCCCTTTCTTTTTTCTCCTTCCAAATTTATTTCACTGGATTATACTCCTTGAATAACATCTTCAAACCCTAATTCTCCTGATTACAGCTTATAATTTTACTACATCTAGCACTACGGGATTATGAATCGACCACTGCATCTCTGTGCTAATGTGGTGTGGCATTTCGAACTGATGTACGTACGTACGAAGTTCTACGTTGTTACTGACTGACTGACTTTGGATTTCTGTGATTTTCCCCAACTTATTTCGATCCCAATCACTATCATGCGTTGGGATAGATGGAAAATGAAATATAATTAACCAAAGTCCAGGGCTTCTTGGGCAATAAAAATGAACAGCCCTAGTAACCATTTTGTTACCAGTGCTTAGTACTCTGCTCAACTATATTACAAATTATCATATTGAGCTAATACTTTAAAAACACGCAATATAATTAAACTCGATCACAAAATACGAGTTTACTTACTACTAGTGATGTCACTTACCTAATCAAACCGGAGTAGGTGAAGCAGTGTGGTTATGGGACGTAAGTTCTTAAACCCAACTACTTAGGCATTAAGTCACCGTTACGAGCACGCATACTGTCGAATATTAGTAATCCATGAATGTCGTTTCAAAATCATTAAGTTACGTAAATCGGATAGCTAAATGATTTGCTCTTGGATTGGAGGTTGATGAACAAAGTGGTGTAAACTATTCCGGTGACCTAAGAGTTTTTAATAAACTAAAAAAGCATATTTTACTAGCTGAATTGGTTTTTGTTTAGCATTGTGTACTTAAAGGTATCTCTTGGCAGTTTGATGGTATTCGACAGTATAGACAGATACGACGACCGAACATCTTTACAAACCAAACTGAGGGGCTTCAGGACTGAAAGGATGTGATAAATACCTAACCCGGAAAACAAATAGGCTTGAAAGCTTCGATAGACAGACGAGATAACTTTCGGAAGTTTTACAAACACATGGAAACTAGGATAAACGCACACTAAGAAAAACTGCAGGCGAAGCACTACCAAGTGTATGTTCTTAGTATTCGGAATGATTAATCTACGCTTAAGACCAAACTATCTGGCTGTGAAATCGACACGTCCTCGCTGTATTGATATAAATAAACGCAAAATCTCATGTTTCATTTTCCTTAAATTTTCACATAAGAGAATGTCTGTAGTGAGTCGGGAAACCAAGATTGGTTTAAATGAAAATTCGAGTTTAAAAAGAATGAAATCTTAATCCAATTTAGATCATATAACACTTAAATTGTCATTGAGAGAAAGAGATAGGACTTTAGTTCTTCCGCTCTTGTAAGCTAGGCTAGAATTGGTAGAAGCGAGCTATTCCCATACTAGCTTTACGTAAAATTCATGCGCGAAAGCCTTATTATAACAATGGAAATAAGACATAAGTAGAAGGTAACGTCTTCCTGTAGTATCTGTCCATGTACATACGGTGGAATACCAGATTAAAGGACTTACGGAAGAATTTCGAACGGTTTCCGATTGTTATGGGTAAGTTTCTTCGGCAAGTTAGCACAATTAGATACGAAAAAATAACACATGAGGACATATGAACAACAGGCATCTGGAAGGGCTTTTTAAAAATAACACTTCCTTTAGCGCTACACTTAGTGTTTTCAGACTTCAACTTTGCTTGTTTGAGTTCATGAACTGTTTGTTCATTGGGATCTGTGTTTGAGTAGGTCAAACAGTGAAAACAGTTTTGAGCAATTCTGCAGTCAGTTTATCAACTTTTATCGAAAGAAACTCCAAAAGCGTTATGCCTAATTGAATGCAGATTGTAAATGCGAAGAGACATCTAATGTTGCAAAAAGGATGATGACAAGTCCTTCTAAATTATGGAAAGTTTGAAGATGGAATCTCTCAGAAAGAACATGGTGGACCCGTTATCACTGTTGTTCACCATCAGAATTCTGAGTTTATTGATATTAATAGGGAAGGAAATTTTTAGTAAATTAGTTTTATGTGCTACATTCAAGAAGATTTAAGATGTCACCTAGCTACCCATTTATCTCCAGCTCTTGAGATGGCCAGCATAGAGGAATTTGAAACTATAAGTGATTCCGAATTTATATTTGGTATATCAAGTGAAACATGGTCTCTTTCGTCATAAGCACGAACGGGGACATTTTCATTAGTCAAGGCTTGTAATTAAAGTGGTTTATGATTTTATTCCAGTTTTCCAGAACATAACATGTAGTGTTATCAAATACAAAACCACGTTATCAAGCAAGAATTATACCTCCAAGTCCACATTAACCATTTACAAAACCGAGAATTATCTACAAAAACGTATATTTAATTTGTGAGGCTCATATAAATTCACTACGACCGCCACAGAAACGAAAACTACAACAACAAATCAATAGCACTCATCTTATCTGCGGTCAAAACAATTAACTGAGTGAACGGCCAAACAGACCAAAATTAGGTAGAGCAACAAATCGTATGGAAAACGCATGTAGTGGAGGGATTTTCATACACCACACAAAACTTCCAAGAAGGATCTTATAGTTACATCACATTTATGTGTCTAAATCAACAACTTACCTTACGTATTCTTTCAAATGAGTAATCGAGTTTATGCTTCAAAATAACATCTGATATGAGGACAAATCCTCGTTTATTGTATTTATACCTTTTCTTGTAAATGTGCTTCCACCTGCCTACTCGTCTAAGAATATCTTTGCAATTCTCAAACGCCCCCATACTTTCTTTATCTGCCTTGAAATAGCGTTGAGTAAGAAGGGGAAGACAAAGTTCGTGAAGACGTATCTAAAACCTCGCTAAATTCAGAAGCGAAAACGTAACAAGCCTGAAGGTAAATGTTAAACAGACAAGCCGGCGAACCGTTTGAAGGGGTGCTAGTCGATCATTTGAATGGACATCAGGTAGGAGATATACTGCAAACCTAAGTGTGAATAAGTGTCTTTACATCGAAGACGATCCTTTTTAATGAAGCAAACAGTGACTTCTGAGTCAGAATTGGTGGTACTTTATGATTTTACAATGGTACCAGTGAAGCCGATAAAAGGAACACCATCAACGGCTGGAGCTACCACATGCGACCGAGTATTAATTAGTTTCGGGATTTTTGGGTTTTGCTAATTTCTGTTTAGTTTGTTTACAGTGTTACCACAGTTACATTTTATCGGCACATTCCCACGCGTAAACGTCGATCATCCGTACTTTTTTGTTACTCCCAAGTAGTCAGATTTCTACCTATAACTTTTTGAGCTGTTTAAATAAGACTTGAAGCTCACTCACATCAAAAAGCAACTGAAAAGTTTTATTGTCTGTATGATGAACAATTGGTCACGGATAGCTCTGCTTTTCTTTGGGCACATATTAGTTTATTCGCTTTGTTGTTCTAAAAGTCTTCAGTACAGCGTGTGATAGTTTAATTAGAGACACTTCTTGTCGAAAATACATTAGAGTAACAAATCTGCTTAAAGCTAGTGAGGTATGATGAAGCAAAATGCTTACAGGACTCATCAGCACATGCACTTTTTTATCGATAACCCTGTTATGTAGACACTATGAATTTAAAATATTCAAATAAAAATGTCGGATCAGAGGTAATCCCGTGTCTAGTGGATTTAAGTTAAAAGGATTCAAGCTAACCTACTAGATGTGTTTACCAAACACACAGAAAGTAACCACACTTAAAATTTTCGGGTCTGTTCCACCGAACATAACATTCATTACCATAGGAAGTTGTTTTGAAGATATAGAGCGTTCTCTTAGAAGCTGTGTCCAGTTATTTAGGTCAATTACGACACTTCATAATCTACCTCGAGATTCTTCACAAGTTATGAGGCCAATGTCCTATCTGACAGCCAAAGAAACTATCACTATATGCATATAGACGGTCCGGACAGTGTAGGGGAGTTGGAAGACCATTCGGCTAACTGAGCATATGCAAAGATACGACCTTACTGTGCTTGAAATAGATAAAACCCAGACGACAAAAAGTGAATGGCAGAGAATGCCTTCGGGAAATATCCTGTTGTTCTTTGGTCACGAAGGCTGCAAGAGAAAGAAATATGAAGTAACTACGTCAAACAACTAAGAAGCTATCAAGAAACTAGTGTTAACCAGAGTGGTCAGACATGAACGAGGAAAGTAAATCGGTAATCGAAGGTCAAGAATGGGGTAACGAGTAGGTTGATTACTCTGAAAACATTTTGAGCTGGCCATCTCAACTCAAACTATATGATACAGAAACATCACATACAAACCCTTCTATAAATGCTGAAGGAAAGGAACTGTAGAAGTTGAGTAAACTACAAGGGGATCAAACTGTTTTCAGAGTCACAGTCAGAAATAATCAAGTTCAATACATTTCGCTTACTTCCGTTTGTTAGTCGTGGTGGAACATAGGCCACCGACCAGGATTCTCCAACCAATTCCTTCCTGTGCTCTCCCTTCCAGAAAATAACTGAGGAATCTTCCTGAACACACAGCTTGAACCTCTGTACTGTACGGATTACTTCACCTTTCTATCCCACACATAGCAACAAAGGAAGATAAAAGCTGTCACTGTGTCATTGGCTTGCATAACAATGGGCCTTAACATTCACAGTAGACAAGACACGATCCTGAAACACAACACAGTAAAGACCAACAAACTCATATCGAATGGAGAGATTCTGGAAGAAGTGTATCTGGGTATCTGGGCACCACAAATAAAAAACACGCAGGAGGGTCCGACTGATTTGAAGCCACGAATCGGCGAGGCAAGGGCAATATTCTCGTAGATTAATAATAACCGGGCTTCAAAAGAACCGTCAGCCAAAAAACCAAAATCATGGTTCTCTCTGTATGAAAGTGTGTAATATGAGGCTTGGATTTAATCAGTATTAAACCATACCACAAATGTAAGAAATCTTACATTAAAAAAGGAGTAAGCGTGACGTTTCTGACCAGCAAATGTGATGGTGAGGAGGTAATTTTAATTCACCCATGTCTGTAGTGTAGGACATTTTGATTGCTTACTGCTCCTTGTAATTCAGTGGAACGTAACTAATCAGTGATATTGATGCTAATTTCGTACTCCAAATACCTTTTTGATTCACGTTTGTAGCCTCGATATCGCTTCGCTTTCTGCCGAAAAATCCTATCATAAGCTAAACTGAATCGCTAGGCTAAAAAGGAGTCCAATAATGACTTTGTTTCCTTTACTGTATATTTTAGATCTACATAGTCTCAAAACTTCAGCACTTTTTAATATCTCCTATACATATAGTGTTTTATCCATTCATTGCTACACTTTTGGTTTGTCTTCGTTAAGCTATCTGGATACACTTGGGTAAAAAGTTGACCTAATGAAAGGAAATAAGTCTAACTAGACATACTCTAACTTTTCCATAATAAATAACTCAGCTTCATCAGTCACTTACATTGTCTGTTCTACTTCTTGTCTTTTTCTTTCTTCCGTTCTTTTTCAGTACCCTAGTGATGAACCACCCTTTCATAATGTCTCCTTCCTTGAAGAAGGATATCACTCTCTTGAGGTGAGTCCGTATAAAAGCAACTAAAACGGTGCTTGCATTTAAAAACCCATAAATAACTTGCCGAAGGCAATACACTGTAGATCATCAATGTGGATGATCTGTGTTGATGATTGAGGTCTACACGAAATGACTGGAGATAATGTGACCTAGATTACTTCAAAGTCACTCATCGTGGACAGTGCGTAACGTGGATTGCTCTTTCGTCGTCTCCATCTACTGTGGCTATTTTGACAGCAGCATTGAACAAGCATGACATTCTTGAAATTATTTTAGAAATACCATATAAGTACAAAGTATAATCACTGACACATGGCCTAATCCATAGTGAGCGATTGATTGTTCCGCGTTAGTCACCCTCCACACTGGTGATGTTTAACAGACAGTCCGATGATCAGTAATTTGTCACCTAACGAGGAAATGGTTATGCATGGTGGATGATCTCACTACCATTCGGTGACGTTCCACTGAACCTACAATACTTTCAATATTTGCAGTATGCAGGGATTAGAGGAGACATGACTATGATCCTCTTCACCTCCTTAGACCACCTTCATGATTTGGTAGTTAACTATATCTTAGAAAACATTTTCTAAGGATAGAACAGGAAGGAGCTTCCACGCATATTCGCATAAAACGTTTTGTGGTTCTAATTGTAAGCCATGGGATCACCTATTTTAAGCGATAATGATGGAGATGCATGCTGGTTCTTTCGAAAAAGGCCCGAACTTTACTGTTATTCTATTGGCACTAAGTGCGATTACGCTTGGTTTATCCATTCTGATGTCTTACGCTAACTGCGACAAAAATGCATTTTTGCTATTTCGGCGAAAGAACTTTCCATCTAATATTTACCAGTTTTATTCGTCCCTATTTAGAGTGCGGAAACACAGTATTTCCTCACTCACTACAAAACGATAAAGTCGCTTTGGTTCATATCCGACAGCGAGCCACGTAAATATGCCCCAAGTAGTCGGAATTTGACAACGTCTTAACCAGTAACACCTTTTATATTCGAAATGTTTCAACCTAGTCAAATCAAAAGCCAGAAGCAAATGGGTTCGAAGGAATGTTTGATAAACTGTCGATATATTGGGAATTGACAAATGTGAGCTGGCTAGCCGTCGTGTATATGAAGTACGGCGTACTCACCAGTGATCTGGTGCGGATGCGCGAGCACCCTCAGCTAGTTGAGTCCATTAAAACTAATGTGGTCAGTATCAAATATCGAAGAATCACATAGCTATTGATTTTGGGGATTTATTTACCGGTAAACACAAAATCAGTTTGGGGACTCGATTCTTGTGAAGAGAGCCTCCGATCAATGAACCTTTACTCATTATAATACAAACGTCCTAAAGATGAGCTAATGATTTATAGCATTCTAAACACTTCTGGGTATCCCCCGAAGTACCTACTTAAGTTTAGTCCCAACAAATACCTTAGGGACAACACCCAGAAACTGGATATACGGCACATCAGAGCGAACTGTATGCACACCTTTTACTCTGTAAGAGTAGTCAAGTGTTGTAATTCTCTACCGACTGAGCCAGTTTAAATGACTTCCGAAGAATCCTTTAAGAGAAAACGTGACATATTTCTAAGGTCCAAGGGCAGTATCTCGCCATAATTTACTAGTTCTTTTCTCTTTCTCTTATCGATAATATACCTAGATTTTTACCTGGAGGCATCGGTGATCCACTGCTACAAGATACAGAGGCTTGTTAAGTTAAATCGTCTTCTGTTCCGTTCAGAACCATTCGAACCATCGATCAACTTCCATTATTGACAAATTTTGTTGATTTTCAGATCCAGAAGTACCAAAAAATGCGCGTCTTCATAACCGAGCACGTCCTGATGCTATCCAGATAGAGAACTTAAGGAACAAATAGTCCGTTGTTCATATCGGCTAGCTTTTGAGGCTTGAATGGATGGGTATTCATTTGTGATTTATTCGAAACTGGCGGGTTCGTTGGATTGTTATTGCGATTGCAAGAGCTTTTATGTTACTTTCTCAGTATTCAATATATTACTATAATTCATATGTAGGACAGAAATAACTTATGTTAAGATGTAATGATGAGACCTTTTGATAGTGGATTCTCACCTCAATCACCAAATAAGAATGAAATACAAGCACAACATACTTCTGTGCGCGAGGTGGAAAATAACAATCCTACTACTGTGAAATGCATCCTTATAGGCGATAAACAAGTTGGAAAAACTAGTTTGGTCGTTAGTTACACTTCCAATGATTATCCAGCGGAATACAGGCCATCTGCCTTAGATACATTTTGTGGTGAGTCGAACTGTTTTATTGTAATGATTCGTAGGTTTTATCATTTTCTAAGTTTCTATTACCATGTAGTTTTGTGGTCTTTGAAACCACGAGCTGCTATTTTATTGAGGGGAGTTAGCTAGTATCTGACGAGGTATGATTAGTTTCCCTAAGCAACCAGTAAAAAGAAAATATAGGTGAATAAATAAGAAATAATGGGGAAACAAGCCAAAATGTCTGCTTTTTCGTCTATCAAGTGGAAATTATGCGGATTTCACCCTTTATATCGCTCTGTGTTTTAAATTTCGCTGAATTGTTTACTTCTCACCTAAATTCACGTCAAATTGCCTACTTTTTGTCTGAATACATGCCGAATCGTCTAATTTTGCTTCAACTTTTAACATACCTTTGGCCTAACCCCAAATGTCTCTGATGTTTGCCTTTATTTTTGTAAAAAACTACACAGCAACCGCAGTCGACGTTAAAAATGGTAATGTTGAAAGAAATTTATTAAAAAGAAAAAACGTCCTGTTGTACAACATTGTGCATAGTTGGCAGATGCTAGAGCATCGATCGTTATGTATTTAAATTGTAATTGCCAAGTCTTATTGTAATTTGAAATGATCTACATTCACTCAGAGTTTCCCATGCAAGTTAGAAAATAAGCACATTTAAAAAATGTTTATTGGAAACAAAGTTGAACATTAAAAATTTTCCCACTGGTAATATCTTTTTGCAACGTCTGTGGGACTATTGAGAAGCAAAGTAATCTTGTAATTTCTGAAATTCGGTGAACACAAAAAATGGATTGGTGAAATTTAGGTCATTAACGGACCGACGCACTCACTTTGAAGAATCCTTTTATTCTAGTGACAGGAATATTTATGTGCTCGATAGTTAGTCATGAGCACATATGGGTTTCCATTAAGGACATTGACTGTAAATTTATTGCCCTTAATTGTATCAATTATTCAGTGATTGCTCCATTGCTACATACGTTTATATGAATGTATTGTGTTTCATTCTGGCTGATGGTCTGGCGTGTATTTGGGCAAAAAGTAGACAATTTAGCGACATTTAAAATAGCAACATAAAGGGGAATATTCGCATCATTTTCCCCCTGACAGGCGGAAAAGCAGACTTTTAGGCTTGTCTCCCCATTATTTTCCCTTTGTTTTCCAATGTATTTTACCTTTTCCCTCTTTGTTCGCCTATATTTCCTATTTATTGGTTGCTTGGGCGCTTTGCGGTAACTCATGGTAATTTTCTAGTTTTTGTAAATCGAAAACCTTAAACCAATAGGTTTGTACAAACGGATAACCTGTTATCATTCCTGAGACTATTTCCTCACTCTGGATAATGTAGTTGTCATTTAGTTATGGTGGTGTGATGTAACAACTTGTACCATTCAATATAGGCTAGATTCTACGTTGGTTGTGCCTTGTTGATTACCTAAATTCATACAACCGGCAAACGATCCTGCTTTTCAGTTAGAATTGATCTATGGTCATCACTACCTAACGTTGTATCTGTATACATCAAGTTTTAGGATGCCATAATGTTCCCACTTCTTTCACTGAGAATCCTTTATGGTTGCATTTTCCTTAACACAACTGCTTCTTCCATTATTGTTTTTTTCAAAATCAAGATTTTGGATATTTCAGAGGTTCATAATATCAGGAGCTTTCCATACTTTATGCAGTTACTGCCACCGAATGCCTTTATATCTGAGGCACAGCACATATTGCAGATAAACTTCGAAAAAATAATCTAAGCGTAAACTCCTAAAACAGTTGCAATTTGCTGAATAAAACCAAAATAGAGGTGTAAAGTATTGTTAATGGTTTGTAAGTAAACCAGTTATCTTACAACCATGGTATTTCGCTTATTTTAGCAATCAGATTTGTGTGATATATATCGTGATTGTAATGGTCTGGGTGACTACATTGATTTAAGTTTCTTTTGATCTCAAATAACTATATGTCTTTTGTCTTCAAGAAAGTGGGTAAAATGCTTCTCTAGTAGTGATAAAATAAATAGCATTGTAGTTGGAGACTCAATTTGGTCTAAAACAATCAAGTAATTACTACCGTACACAACATTGATCTTTTGATGGAAATACTTACTTAATCACACCTGTTACTCCCAGTGGGCCATAGATCGCCAAACAACATTCTTCAACCCGCTCTGTCATGAGCCTTCTTTTCTAGTTTCATCCGATTCTTGTTCATTTTTCTCATGTCTATCTCCATTTCTCGGCGTAATTTGTTCTTTGGTCTTCCTCTTTTCCTTTAACCCTGAGGATTCTATGTGAGGGCTTGCCTTGTGACGCAGTTGGGTGCTTTCCTCATTATGTATCCTATCCACTTCCAGCACTCCTGCATTTGTTGTTGCGTGTGCCTTATGGAAATAGTTTATACGTAATGCGGGGGGAAGGTATGAGAGTAGACTATTTTTCCACGTTCTCAAAAAGAAGTGATTGATTAAACAGTGAAGATACAGAAGTTTTCAGGAGATACTTCTAAGAACCGCTTATAAATAAATCAGAAGAGTGTATGGGGCTATATGTTTTCGAATCCGAATTCTCGTGATGACGTTCATGAGTTGTAAACAGTTGGATTATGTACCACATTTCATCTACTAGTGAAGCTGTATTCACACACCTGTAACCTAACATTCCTATTTATTTTTAAATATGTGTTCTCGTTTCATCAATTTATCTGTGGTTTTGTAAGGCATTAAGATTTAAGTCGTCCTAATTTTTAAGCCAGTATATTGCTTATTTTAGCTAAAATGAACATAAATCTTTAATTACATGGTGCAGCGGTAACTATTTTAACCATAAATAATCCACATTAGTAAAGTTAGCAGTCGTGTAAAAATATGCTGCTAACTTTATCGGTTCAAATGTAGAATCTCATTGAAACTGAGATTATAGTCAGTTAAAAATATTTTCTGCGTAGATATCTGGTTGGAGTCAGTTTACAAAAGAAATATCACTGAATGACATAACTCTCTATGTAAATTCATGTGTCCTTATGGGGTACGGCGACTTGAACCGATGTAAAGATATGCCAGGTTTTACACTGCTCATGATTGACTGGCTCAATGAGATCCTAATATATCATGTAGATCGATTGAAAAGCCTTTTAATTGCAACCAGTAAATTTCAGCTTTGAGGGAAAACCTCTAACTGTGCTGAATTGTGGCGAAGGTAGAATGGTTTCCATGGATAAATGACGTCTTCCATAATGGCACTTCCTTTCAAATGGAAGGGGTCATAAAAAGTCAATCCTAAAAACAAAACTTATTTCATGAATTTTCAGTGACGAGGTTTTTCCAAGTGCACAGCCAACATTACGAAATCGAAAATAAAAGTGACTACTTATAACGGAATTTAAGCAGTGATTCTTCGGTCATGCTTTCAAGTTGATAAGATCACCAATAATAAAGTATATTTTCAAGATGCCGAAAGTAAGTATGGTTCCATGATGTGTACAGCTGGAGTGTCAACCGGCCACACGCCTCCAGCAGCACACTGGTCCATCCAGTATATAGCTTGCTATCTTTAACTTTGTCTCTAAACTCATCCAGGTCACTACAAGACGTAATTTACTATCCATGTATCGGAAACCAGTAGTTTATTCACTATAGAAATCCACTTATTTCGACTAGTGTGTTTAGCATTTAAAAACAAGCTTCTTAGGAAAATAGAAAGGGGCCTATAACTTTCATCAAATATGTTTAGAGAGAGCTCGTCAAGAGATCCCGGGGCATGAAATATATTGACTTTAACTGTAATATTCTTGCATGGTGCATTGTTTAGTGCTTAACAATGATTTTCATTGATTTTGAACATATAACACCAGTCAGTCAAACAAAACGTAGGACTTTGTATAAATGTTTTCTTCCAAGCTAATGTGCCTCGTCAACATTCCATACAAGATTAAAAAACCGATGAAAAGTAAAGGTATTACGAACATAAATGGATATGTTAGTAAAAGAAAAATGATCCAAAAGAAACGATTGATTTGATGACTATAAGCATGGAATAACACGATTCACTATTTAGAGGAGGATGAAGAATAGATCCTATCGTGCCACTACGACCGAGTTTTGCTCGTGTTACACCATGTCTATACTCATTTATTAAATACTAATTTCATCCTGTTCTCAGTATTTCCTGACTATCAATGCATGTCATAACATCTTGTAAATTCACCTCTTTTACTATGTAACTCGTCTTACAAGTTATTCTGATCTCTTCATTTCAGTTGAAGTGTGTGCTGATACACGACCAGTACATCTACAAATCTGTGACACAGGAGGAAAAGTGAGTGTCTCCATCTGTTATACTTCATTGTAAAGTTAAGGTTTTCTTGCTGCTCCTTGTTCCATTTGTAATTGAAGTTTTCCAACCTGCTTTCTACCATCTGATATTAAATCGAAGGTTTATTCGAAACTTCATACTCCTTTGTTACTCTCCAAGGTTATAAATGTTTTTGTAGCCCACATTGACAGGCAAGAGCAACGTAGGGGCTGACTCAGCCATATATTGAACACGCTTTTGAGTCTCAAACAACATTGCAGGTTCAATATTAATTCTGTATTATGATCGAATGGGGGAATCAGTATCACTGTATGTATAATTGCATAAAGTGTACACAAAGTAACGCTACTGAAAAACTGCTTGTTGGCTAATGTTTATTGTGGTACACCTCAGTATCATGAAAAAGCAAAAATTTCAATCCAAAGACTGTAAATGCTTATTAAAAGCCACAATAATCATGTCTTATCTGACAGTGCTACTGGACCAAATTAAATGGAGTAGATTGTAACTTGCGATTCAGTGCCCCAGAAATCTTTAATAAGTCGAAACTTACAAACTGAAGTGCATACTTTCCCCAAAAGTCATTATTTATGTATTTTCATCATGTGTTATTGTGATGGATATATTGACTTAACACATGGAACAAGCCTAGGGAAAGCTTTAGAGTTAAATTAGAAAGACAGATTCATTCTACTTTTGACTATTGAAGATAAAGTATACAAGCTGATTAAATCTCTGTGTACATTTGAGTTCACCTTTTCAAGTAGTGATAAGGCAAACATTTATTTTCTAAATAAAGGGACGAATTGAGCGAAGAAAATAAATTCCTTCGCTCAATTCGTTCCGTATTTATTTACCAAATGTCAAAATGGAAATTTTCACTATATTTATTTTCTAACTCACGTTCGCTGTATTTATCTTATTATTTTTTTCCTAGTCAATTTTCTCTTTTAATGACGTTCAATCACTTTATTTTTGTATGAAGATCTACTTTTGTTTGTTTGATTTTTGGATGGCAGTCACAGGATTGAAACAGAAGATGTGGTTACAATAGGTTTTATTATTGATATAAAGTTGACATTAACTATTGATCAGACTTCCAATAAAGTACTGTATGGTATTTGTTTTTTTAGTTGAATGAAACAGTTACTACTGGGAATTTAGCGACTAGAATTATTTATCCATAAAACGTTTGTCCTAACGCCTTATTCAGACCCAGATACGTTATAACGGAACAATTGATATGATAGATTACTGAAGTGTATGAAAGATATACACTGGTAATTTGGTTACAGAACTGAGCCCTTTAACCTGACCAAGTAGTATCCAAGTGACAGATTCACTAGCCAACTGACTGTAAATGTTAAAAAATTAAAGCTATTGTTTTTTCTTTACGAATATTCGACGAAAATGGTATGATTGTCCTATTTTTCAGTTAATTAAGAAGAGAAATATAGGTCACAAAGCCAATGCTCATTTACTTTGCTGCTCCATATATATATAGTTTACTGTAAAAAGTTTATTTCTATGTCTCAACTCACCCGGAAATCAAATATAAAGGTTGACTATAATATACTCAGTTAAATGTATACTAAATAAAGCCATTTACTTTCTCAACTTCATTGTTTTTATAGAGGTTTTACAGATATATATGTTTGCTTTCAACCCTTACGAATTTATGTACTTGACGTCATTTATATGATGACAGTTATCATAACACAAATATTCAGTTCCATCAGTGTCGAATGAAACTTATGTTCCTAAATCGTTGATTTCTTTGCATTATGGTGTTACTTGAGTCACAACTGGTCCTTTTTGAGATCAGATTGTCTACACAAACTAGTTGATAGACAGAAACGATGTTATTCACTTATGGCTTAATTGTCTCGCTAATTACCTACATCCGTTACCCTTCGCGGATCTTAGGCCTTAATATCGACTGCTAAATGCTTCATTGTTGTGCCATTTAGTTAGTTGCATTCACTATCAACTGTGACCTATGCCGGCGTTAAAGATTGAACTGTCATTTTTGTTATTTTGTGAAAACTATTTCATATATTTGTTAAACATTTCTATTTGACTATTCTTTTTCTACTTCCTTCAGGAAGAAGTTAGTTCTTTGAGACATTTGTCATATTTGGATGCACATGTTATCTTACTATGTTTCTCTGTCGTCCGGCCAGATACTTTTAGATCCTTGAAAACTGTTTGGTTGAAAGAACTAGCGTCTGCTCCCATTATTCTTAACAGTGCTGCTGAACAAACTGCTTCAAAACTATTCGGTTTATCCACTACACGAAGAAATATTGATAATCTTTCAGCTTCAGCACCCACTAAATCAAAATCTGTGCACACTAATCGCGGATTAAAAAGTGTAAATGAAGCTAACTTAATACCGGGTCCTATATTTCTTCTTATTGGTTGTGCATGTGATCTACGTAATGATATTGGACGTTTATTAGAACTGTCTAAAGTTGGTGAAGAGCCTATAGATAAGGAAAAGGCCGAATGTTTGGCTATTGAATTAGGCGCTGAAGCTTACGTAGAATGTTCCGCGTTAACTCAGAAAAATCTTAAGACTGTTTTTGATCTAGCTATTTGGTGTGGTCTTAAAGTAGCTGATTCAGGTGGTCCAGTATTATTGCGTGAACCAAAGTCAAATGGATCACTATTATATAATGGGGACTGCACGCAAGCTTCTAATAATGATAATAGTATTAGCAATAACCATATGATGACCGATAGTCATACATTTCATATTGTAACAGAGAATAATAAGTGTAAAACTCTTAAAAAGGGTTGGCGCCGTTTCTTTTGTATCAATTCTTAAGTTATTTTGTAATTTAGTATTTCTTTTTCATTTTGTTGCTGATGATAATGCTTCCTTTTTGAAAATGTAAATTGTTCAATTTATTATCTAGTCATTTATGTTTATTTTATAGTACTTTATGTAGTAACTAATGATTTTTTGTTTCATGTCTAACTATAATTACTGGTAGATGATATGGTTGTGTATTCATATCAACTTTACAACTCTATTGCCATGTTTTATGCACTGAACAACTTGAAACTTAGTTGACTTTGTCTAGTCTTTTCTTAATACTTATTTCTTTCAATCTTCTTTTTTATTATCCGGTGATTATGAACTCATTTCTACCCATTTCCTACCTGCTGAACCCATCATTTACTTAGAATTCCTCTTTATATATATACAAATCCTTGCATAACTTATGTCGTGATTTTATCACATTTGTGTACATTATTTTATTTAAAACTATTAATTAATGTGCCATACATGAAATGTATGCCAGATATACGTATATAAATTAAACCAAAGCTGTAATATCTACTCTGAATTGTTTTTACACCATTTTTTGCCTATATATTTATTTATATGTATAACATTGTACATCCAGTCGTTGCTTTCTTTTCTCCCAAAACTATTTTCCCTTTGTTTGTTGTCCACTTCGTATGTATATGTATGCATATAATTCGTAATATCTGCCTTTATTACTAATTAATATAAAGATTTTCGAAGCATGGAGATACTTTTTTATTCATTCTGTGCTCAATTTTTCACAACAGTCAACAAAAAGTCGTAAACGTATGGTTGTGGGCTGACTGGTATTCTCCGGTAGAAAAACCCACTGTCTCTGAACTGTACACAATACTCACTTAGTTCACAACTGATGTATTCAACCAGTGACCACTTTCCTCTAAAGTCAGTTAGTGTGCACCAGTACGGTCATTCAACAAGGATTAAAGTTATTTTTCAATTCAAAGCAATGTATCGTCCTTTTATTTACAAATAGTTTGATAAGACTCCTTGGACAGTTTTATTTATGCATGCGTATTTATCCAGATTTATACTTGCTATTACAAATACATAATTTATAAAACACCATACAAATGTTTATCATAATTTGAAATTGGTTTCTTTCAGAGTTCAATCCGCTTACATTCACAGTCGGAATATGCATTTGGAGAATATATGTTTTCATTATAATGTTTTTGTTCTCGTAATATACGTTCATGTTGCTTTTGTGCTCGTTTCAGAGTTTCGTGGGCTAAACGTGCACTTGATTCCATTGATTCCTCAGACAGCGAACTACAGCTAGTCAGCGATCCTGGTTCATCCACTGTTCTTTGTTTTCGTTCGTATTCATTGCTAAACCAGTGGTTCTGCCTTTTAGATGCATGGTTTTTAGAATCATTTGACCATTGTTTTATGTACGAATTGTTTGTTCTTGGCTCATCTAAATTTGCTAGTCGAATTGAATCATTTTCTGATTTTAAGCTGTGGTTTGCGCTGTCATATGCTTCATCAGTATGGTTATATTTCGTAGCAGCTGGTAATGTTCCTACATAATTGTCTCTATTACATTTCACATCTGTTTTATATCTACGGTATGGCTGGGTGGATAAGTGATCGTCATTATATTCTATATTTTGATCGCAGTCTGTGTCAGAGCAATCATCTTGATCCATTATTTCTGCGACATTGTGACTGTCCAACATTGCTCTCCTTCGTTGATTAGCCGATAGCACCATTTCGTCTGGATTAGAAATTAAGTCCGTTGATGGTTTTCCAGCTCTTGGCATTTGTAAGGCTTCTTTATATTTTTCTAGATTTTCCATATAATTATCATTACTTGGGGGATCCCAATGATCAACATAGTCAGATTCCAGTTGTGCTAAGTGCTCACGCGAAAAGTGTGATTCTCGATCACGTTTTCGATAGGCATCAGCTTTTCTACGTAGTACTACTATTTCTCGGTACCAGTCATTCGATATACTTTTATTTGATGATTTCATTTGATTTCGTGGAACACCTAATACATCTGAATAGTCTATATATTTAGCATTATATTCTGTAGTATACTTCTTTTTATGTTGTGTTAGTTTAGTGTTCATTTGTGATGGCGGGGTTAATGCTCGAATCCGTCCTTTTTCTATCTTATTAATATCCTTGGCTATTTCTCTAATTCCATATGCTGATGACGGACGTTTTAAAGGAATAATATGTACATCTTTGTTTTCTATTACTTCACTTGACTTTAATTGATCAACTGGGACATATTTAAAAGGTTTATATTCGTGCCTGTATTCTGTATCGTAAGGGATTTTACGAGATTGGAATTTATCTAGTTTACATGTGAATGGTCTGGTAGATCTTGTTGGTTCAAATTTATAATTGAACTGTGGTACCTTAAATGCACTCTGATATTCTGAAAGACGACTTTTTTCACAAGTGTAAACCGCAGCTTTTGGAGGCTCCAATTTCCAGTTTTCTGAGTACTCTTGAAGTGGAGTTTTATTACTTTTATGTTGACGTGGGGCATCGGGAGCGTGAGTGACCATTAGATGGTCAGATTCTACTGGTTTGGAAATCTTTGTATGGGGCTTTTGTTTAAGTTCATTTTCGATTTTTACGTGCTTCTCCTTTGCTTCCTCTCTTGCACGTAAAATTCTCTTTCTGTTTTCAATCTCAGTTCGAATTCGTTGAATCTCCTCTTCGAGTGCTTTATGTGCTCCGTCTGTTTGGATAGCTTCATCTCTATGAGGTTTTAGGATAGGTGATGGTTTTCGAATTCGCCTGTTTATTTGAGCAGACGATTGCTGTTTTAGACCGTTACCGGTATTTTCTTGTTTTTTCTTTGGCGAAACACTTCGAGCATTTCGCTTCATTTTATTTCTGTAGGCAATCGAATTTGAAAATTTACCATCAGATGGACCTATCACAAAGTAGTCATCTTCTTTTGGATTTACAAACTGCGTATTCAGATTAAATTCGTTTGTCAATCCAAATTTTCGTTTTTTCTGAAATAATGGTTCTTCTGTGATTTTACCCATTCAGATAGTTTTAAATCGGTTTCAACATTCGATGTTTGCATCCATCAGTTAATCTAAGAGGTAATGAAGCAACACAAAATTATTATTTCTAAAACTGAATAAATTAGATAAAACCAGGCATTTCTAAGTTTCATAACCCTAGTCGTTGAAAGTACATTACGAGTAAGGTGGCATGCTTTCCTCTTTGCACTAGTTAATTTCCAAGCATACATGTGAATGAATTACGAGATGCTCGTGCATCACTTCCTTCACTTTACAGTTGTCTTAATCACTAATTTTGACCATACCTGACCCAGATGTTGCTTGGAAAGATATACGAACAGCTGTAGAAACAGCAGTGCCATCTATTAGTGATTTAAACTAAAGGATTACGTAAAACCGATGAATCTCCACCGAGTCTATCGTACTGATAGATTCTCGTAAACTCATCCCATCAGGCTCTGAACATGATGAAGAGCGAAAACAAATCAAATGTAGGTTAACCAAAAGTCTAAGGAACGACCGTGAGTGGTGATGGACAACGAAAGCAAAAGAGATATAAAAGGCAGCGGCTGTAGGTAACATCAGACAACTGTTCAGACTAATAAAATAAACTGGAATTAATAAGTCAAGTGTGAGACGATCTCGGGAAAAGACGACACTATTATCTACTCTCAGCCCAGACGTTTAGAAAGATGGGCGGAACATTTTAAGGGGCAGTCGAACTGGCCTTCAGCTACTCTACAACTACTCACTGCTCCCAAACAACTTGAATGGAACACTGAAGTAGGTCCCCCAACTCGAGTTGAATTTCAAAAAGGTATAGCTAATCTGAAATGAAGAACAGATGGATTGGTTCTAGCGGTCTTTAAGGATGGTGGTCTAGTTTTGGCGATTAGATTAACTAACATTCTAGCTAAAATCCGGGAATTGGACGTAATCTCATCTGACTGGTCGCAATCGCTGATTGTCCCAACATATAAGAAGGGGTCAAAACCATTCTGTTTGACTAATATAGCATCTAAAATACTAGCCTAAATAATTACCGGGCGCCTAACTCAGACTCATGAACCGCAAACACGAGAGAATCAAGCTGGCTTCAGACCTGGTCACCATTTGTCAGGTTCTAGAACACAGGTATACTTATCGGCGTCCGACCATGGTGGTCTTTCTTGACTTAAAAGCAGCATTTGACTCGGTAGACCGCGAGATTCCGTGGCAGTGTCTGTCATTGAAAGGCGTACCTCAGAAGTACATAAACCTTGTGAAGGCTATTTATTCGAACATTACTAGTCGGGTCAGAGCTTATGGCGAACTGTCTTCTTTAGCAAGCTCAAGTGGTGTCCATCGAAACTGTTCACTATCTCTATTTTTTTCAACTTGGTCATAAACCTACTGCTGGAAATAACGTTCTTGGGAATTGATCTCCTACAAGGAGGTTCACTTATCAACTTAGAATACTCAGATGACACATTTCTGCTTAGTGAAGACGCTGATAAAATGCAAAGTCTTTTTGGTAGCACTAAGCAACAATGTCAGAATGTTAGGGATGCGTTTCTTTCCCTATAAATGCAAGTTGTTGCTTCAGGACTGGCGTGCGTCAACACCCAAACTAAGGATAGAGAATGGAGTAGTCGGACGCGTCGACAACTTCACTTATCTTGGAAGTCTGACCAACCTTAACGGGTTGGTGTCTGACGGAATCTCTGCACGGATTCAGAAAGCTCGTTTGGCTTTTGCCAACTTACGTCACCTATGGCGAAGGCAAGTTATCCGTCTATCAATTAAGGGACGAGTATACTGTGCGGCAGTTCGTTCTGTTTTAATTTACGACAGCAAAATATGGCCTTTAAGAGTAGAAGATACTCGTAAGCTACTAGTATTTGAAATATTTCTGGTATCTGCTGGGATCACCGGATAAGTAATGGTGAGGTTAGACGTAAGGTATTAGGGAATGGTGGTAAATCAGTTGATGAGGTTGTGAATCTTCATCGACTGAGATGGTTGGGCCACGTGTTGCGTATGCCTGAACACCGACGTGCAATGCTAACCGGTGTTGGAGATGGTTGGAAGAAAGTTAGGGGCGGCCATACCAAAACGTGACATCAGTGCTTGAAGACATTAACTTCTAGTCTGAGCCATGTTGGTAGATGCAGACTACTTGGTTGGGGTCCGTGTGACTATCGTAACCAATGGTTGGAGACTTGGTGACATGGCTCAGGATCGATCACAATGGCGTAGGTGTATTCAATGTTTGTGTTCCCTTAAACCGTGGGATTAAAATCGCCTCATATCTTTCTTTCTACGAACTAATTCTTTCTTCCTGTAGTATATCCTTATACACAATCCTTCTTTTATACATTACCACCAATGAAGTGACTACTTCTATGAATTCTGTATTCATCTTGTTGTGCTAATAAGGTGTGGCAACTTGGACCAATGCATATATGTGCCTGGTCCTACGTTGTAGCTGACTGACCTGTTTATCCCCAAGGATTTTTACTTCTAGAATTAGGACTCAACTAATACCCTGATTTCTTTATATGCCCTCAATTTATAGATGGCTTTGGTTTTCTTTCACTTCTGAATATATGACTATGTGAACATTCTGACAGGGTGCGTCTTACAATGTTCATCTATATTTATAAATGTTCTGTAAGGAAAACCTTCGGTTGTCCCAGTACACTGGATTCGACGATGTTGCCTCTCATGGTTACTTGCCGATTTTTCCGTAACCACCTAATGTTTTATATCCGTCTATATTTTACCGCACAACCTATGGTAATGTGAATATTAAAAACAAAAATATTGAATCATAGCTACCCTAATTCACTAGTGCCAAACAAAATTCTATTTAGCAACAAATTGTAAGCGATAAATACATTTCTGTCGGAATGCTAATTGTTTGTTCTAACTCATTTTTAACATTATATATTGTTATTCAAAAGTCCAGTCGATTGATCAGTCAATTTCTATTTTTAGAAGTACATTTAATTGCTTTTGTAAGTTTCGATTGTGTCGTATAAGGGAACTTTAAGAGAAGTCGTCTTCGATTTAATTAATTTTTTCTTTTTTCATCACTAATAATAGTGATGATAATCGTTATTGTTGTTGGTTATGATGGAAATTCGGTTTATATTTATTGATTTTTCAGCATATTCAAATTTTCGTATTAAAAAGAAGCACAACGAGCAACAGATAATAATACTAACAAATCACCCCGCAACTAGATAACGAGAACGATTTATCTTAATGCTTTTTGAAGAACACTGACAAAAAATATTAGAAAGGGGTTTTATGGGAGTTGTAGTAATTTAGTAGTTGAATTCATGAGTCCTAAGCTAGCAGAATGGTGGATGTGCACTGCTGAAGAGTCCTATACTAGAACGAAACGGCTGTCCAGTGTTTCCAGATTTTCCACGGTGGTCTAGCTTTAATTGACTCGTGAGTTCAATTATTAATAATTATTTTAGTTATTAGAAATTATGCTGTCAAGCCAATGGATTCACCGTGATCCATAAGGTAATACTTTATAGCATAGTCAAATATGAATGTATTTTTCCGTTTGTCTCGCTGACTAATTTAATGTTAGGATATTTTCTACAAAAATCTCTTTTTATGATAAATTAATAATTGAACGTTTTCGTTATATCGAATAATGAATGGACCTTTTCAATAAGTACTAGAAGAATTATTGAACTTACGGAATATAAAATATTTATTATGACTAATGTAAAAAAACTCGATAATGATTACTAAACCAATTGATTGACAGAATTTAAATTTCCACAGCTTGATTCACTAATTGATCTAAGCTAGACTACCATTGAAAACCTGGAGGCACTGGACGGGCGTTTTGTCTTATTATGGGACTCGTCGACAGTGCGAATCCACAATCCCCACACGGGATCTGGTCAACGACTTTCAGTCTTTCATGCGAACACTTAACCTCTAGACCACTGAGCCGGTATCCAACGATGTTAATATCTAACTTCACTCGATCCAAGAACAGATTCAAACAAACTCATAATTAGATTTGTATTCTTAACAGGGTATTAACGAAGTGATCGATTTAAACTGTCTACTGTTGTGTTATCTTTAGATAATTTTGAAGTGTAGTTTCAAAAAGTAAAACACTCCTAATATTTCTCAAACAAAAGGTTCTTGTGCTAACCATTTTGTCAAAAAAGTAACAACAGCGATTTATTGATATTATTTCGGTAATGGCTGCCAATGAAGCTAGTATGTTCTACTTTGGTAAGTGGAAACTTCAGCAGCACTGGAGAAATTGTACTTTTTAGTCTGTCTTACACCTATAAGGCCGTTACGCTTAAATTGTATACGTTCTAACGCACACAATGATGCAAAAAATGAATAGAAGACAAACCTTTTAGAAAAGAACTTTAACCATAATCTGAGAAACCAAGAATATTATGCCACTATTTTGCATATACAATTTATTTATGACCATGGGAAAAATATAGCATTATGGTAACAAAAGTTTAAGCAGACAATAAGAGAATATCAATGTTCTTAGTGGGAAATAGGAATTTTCGTTTCATGTCAGACTTTTAACATGAATGTAAAAATCTAAATTACAATATAAGAAAATAGGAACTTTCGAGCCTTCCTAGCAGAAGTACGGGACACGCGTTTAACCTTATTAATGACACGGTGACTGAGTGTAACTAGCTTTTGATGTCCAACTGAGACTCGAATTTGACATCCGTCATTTTAAAGGTCAATACTTCATACTCTAATATACTGAGTTATTTTAGTTACCGTCTTCTATTTTACTTGCCTTATTTGTTTTAAGCTGAATTTACTTTATCAAAGAATTTGAGCAAGTTGATAAACCAACATTGTTTATTGTTGATAGAATTCATATCGAGAATAATAACCGTTTAACGCATTGTTTTAATAAAATGAATGCACACATTATAGACGCGTAATGTTTTCTTCACTTCGCGTTCTTGGCGTTTTTGTGCGATATATTGTAATGAAATTCATGTATATATCTGTTTGTGAGAGCTTTTTAATTTTTAAGAATTATCATTGTTATGTGATCTATACT